ATGGTGTCACACTGATTCAAATACTTAACTTGTGGCCCACTATGAGACTCAGATCCCTTTCTGTAGTACTCCTTCCTAGACAGTCACTTCCCATTCTGTATGTGAAACTGATTGTTCCTTCGTAAGTGGAGTATTTTGCATTTGTTCTTATTAAACTTCATTACTTTAGACCATTTCTCCAGTTTGTCCAGCTCATTTTGAAATATGAACCTATCCTCTAAAGCACTTGTAATCCCTCCCAGCTTCGTATCATCTGCACACTTAAGTGTACTCTCTGTCAATGTCTCAATCATTTATGAAGATATTGAACAGAACCAGTCCCAAAACAGACCCCTGCGGAACCCCAGTTGGTATGCCCAGCATGATTATATGTAGACGGTCACTAAATAGGCCAAACTAAGGTTATTTAACAAAGTTGAAGCTATGCCCTGCAACAAGCACTACAATGACCTTAAAATCAAAGGGTCTGTAGGTGGCGGTCAGTGAAAGGGGGTACATTTTGGAAGTGAGTATGAAATGCTGCTGCAACTGGTTGCGCCTTAGGGTGCGTCTACAGTGCACCCGTTATTTCTAGATAACAGTGCGAGCGTCTACATAGCCATTCTGTCCATTTGAAATAACGGATGGCTTATTCTGAAATCTGTAAACTTCATTCTACCAGGAATAATGCCCATTCCGAAATAGCTATTTCAAAATAAGGCGTGTGTAGATGCTCCACTGTTGCTATTTTGAAATAGAATGGCTCTGGTAAGGGGCTAAGTTATTCCTCTCCAGTGCCTCCTGGGGCTCTAAATCGAGACAGGCTTCCCTAATGTAGACGTGCTGACTCGGACTAATTTTGAGGCTTCCCTGCAGTGTAGACGTGCTATTTCGAAATAAGCACAGAATAGCTGTGCAGTGTAGACATACTCTTAGTGGCTGCGGACTGTGGGCGAGGGAGCTAGCTGGTTGGGAGGGTGAAGTGGCCATTGTTGGATCTCCATCAGGAACTCCCAGGGGTAGGTAATACAGCTAAACGCCACCTTGTAGTGTAGGGGTGGAGAATCTTTTTTGAGTCGGAGGCCACTGATGCACAGAAAATAAGATGGGGACTGCACAAAAGCAAGAAGCCCAAAAAACTCCAAAGCCCCAATGTGAGTGTTGGGGGCCGGATCCAGGCCCTGAGCCTTAGGTTCCCCAATCCTGTTGTAGCAGCACCACAGGGTCATCAAGGGTTTATGCCTGGGCAGTATGGCTCCCAAAAGAGATGTGCTGCAATGGGGAAGAGAACAGGAAGCTTGAAAGATTCCAAGATGGATCCACACATTTGGTATCTGCTTTGGAGGATGGGGTAATAATTCAAAATGACCTGGACAAACTGGAGAAATGGTCTGCGGTAATTAAGTTTAATAAGGACAGATGTTAAGTGGAGTACTTTGCAAGGAAAAATCCGTTCCCATTCTGCATGTGTGAAAGGGACTGTCTAGGAAGGGGTACGGCCGGAAAGAACCTTGGGGTTGTAGTAGACCACAAACTAAATGAGTCAACCGCGTGACAACATGTTGCAAAAAAGAGCAAACATGATTCTGGGATGCATTAAAGGGAGTGTTATGTGCAAGATCCGAGAAGTCCTTCTTCCTCTCTACTCTGCACTGATTAGGCCTTAATTGAAATATTGTGCCCAGTTCCAGGCCTCACATTTGAGGAAAGATGTGGGAAAATTGGAGATGGTCCAGAGAAGAGCAACAAACATGATGAAAGGTCTAGAAAACATGACCTACCCCATTTGAGGAAAGATGTGGGGAAATTGGAGATGGTCCAGAGAAGAGCAACAAACATGATGAAAGGTCTAGAAAACATGACCTACGAGGGAAGACTGAAAGAACTGGGTTTGTTTAATTTGGAAAAAAGAAGCCTGAAAGGGTACATGTTAGCAGCTTTCAAATACCTAAAAGGTTTTACAAGGAAAAGAACTTTTCTTCCTCCTTAACATCTGAGGATCAGACCAGAAGCAATTAGCACCTTTCAAATACCTAAAAGGTTTTACAAGGAAAAGAACGTTTCTTCCTCCTTAACATCAGGATCAGACCAGAAGCAATGGACTTAAAATGCAGCAAGGGAGGCTTAGTTTTCTTCCTCCTTAACATCTGAGGATCAGACCAGAAGCAATGGGCTTAAAATGCAGCAAGGGAGGCTTAGATTGGACATTAGCGACCGTGAGGGCAGGGAACTGGACTTGGATGACCTCTTGAGGTCTTTTCCTGTTCTACTAATCTCTGACTTCCCCCATAGATCAGAAGGCTCTGAAGGTTGTGCCAATTCTTTTAGGTAACAAACCCCTTCCCCCTTGAGCAGAGGCAATGGTGTACAGACCATAGTTAGGGAAGCTTCTAGGAGTTCTCCAGGGAAGAAGAGAGATGGTGCAGCATTTTCTTGTGATTCTCTCCCACCCCGTCCTGCTAACCCATGTGTCTTAAAGCTATACAGCTTCTGGAATTGTAAAAGTTGCAGCTGTAATTGAGTTACATTTAAATGTCTAGCCTTCGTGGCTGCAGAGAAAGTGATTGAAAAAAGGCTCTCAAATGGACTCAGTTTACTGTTTATAAAACTTTTTTTCACCCAGTCCCAGTGTTTTTTGGCTTGACTGTTCATTTCTGAAAGCTGGGTGTTAAAAAAACACTTGTTTGCTTTACTCCAGGAACACTGCCGTGTTCCATTGAGGAGGAATTGTCTTTCTAGGATTCTTTACCATGACCAAGTGAGGGAGCGGAGGAAACAAAGGTGTTTGAGATGCCTTTTTGAAGTTCTTCCCCTCCTGTGTGGTTTTTAGTAGCAGGGAGTGAATGACTGCAGGTCAGACACTTAACTGGAGCATCCAGAGGTCTTGGACTTTGGATTACGCTCAGCATGGCAGCGCCTTTGTAGACTAGACCCTTTTGCTATGTGAATCTACAGATGTCTCCGGGCTAATAGGGAATAGTACTAAAGAGTTGAGCTCTCAGAAGAGAGCCCAGGTGATCTATAGGCATCCAGCACACACACTTCTATATGAGATACTGTGAAATGGCTGAAAGGTTATCACTAACCCCAACCTTAATGGGTTAATGCTCCCACCAGTGGATCTTGACATATTAATGGGAGCAGACTAAATATGAAGAGTTGCCTGGAAACTGTTTGGCGAGAACTAGAGCCTTGAGTGCAGGTGGGTGGGTGTGGAGACAGGTGGTTGTAGTTACAGCCATCAGGAGGCAAAGACAGTGTGTCTTGTTCTGTTTGTTTTGTTCCCCCAGGAAGAAGGGATTAATTTTGTGTGTGTGTGTGTGTGTGAGAAGCAGTACACCAGCCCATTGATGTTTCTGCCCCTCGGTAACTACTGGTCTTAGTTTTTGTTCAGTCAGCAATTTCCTTGGCCTGTGTGGCTGAGCTGTAACACCGTCAGCTATTATAGTGACTCATGGTCTGGACTTGTGTCTCATTGCTCAACCATGAAGGCTGAAGTGTGGTCATAGGTCTCCTGTCCTGCCTTGCACGGGTGGTTTCCTGCCTACCCGAGCAGCTTGTGCCTAGGGACCAGTTCAGCGTCTTCCCTTTTCCTGCATGCATTGTCCAAGCAAGCGATGTGGACTTCACCTGGCAAGCTTTCAAGTGTGTTCATTTCCAAACTAAGCAGCTGGCATGGTACAGCTGTGGCAGCCAAGTAACTCCTAGCCGGTGAGAGTCCAAAGGCAAATGGCAGAACTAATTTGGGAAGCACATCGACTATATACTTGAGAGAATCTGTCTGTTCAAGAACCCTTCCTAAACAGGACCACCAAATTTGGCATGCAGCTTTCTCGGAACCTAGCGTAAAGCAAGGTCAGGGTTTGGTTGTGCCAGGAACATGCCAAGAATGGATTGCTTCTAAGAAAAGACACAATCAGCAGGCAGGCAAAAGGGTTGGCTTGGGGTGCCCAGTCCTGAGTCTTCCATAAAGGGCACCCAAGAATGGATTGCTTCTAAGAAAAGACAATATCAGCAGGCAGGCAAAAGGGTTGGCTGGGGGTGTCCAGTCCTGAGTCTTCCATAAAGGGCACCCTAGGGAGATGGAGCATGGGATGGCTGCAGCCCCTTCCCCTCCAATTTGTACAAAAGCATTGCTGGCTGTTCCCCTTTGTCTGGGAGCAAGGGGAAGGTACACAGTTTGCTGCATTCCTCACTCTGGCAGGGGAGGGCCGGGGCAGACTAACCGGGACCTGCCCCAGCTGGGGGACATGCTGCCCTCCCCTTCACTGTGCTAGCTGGAGCTGCAGTGACCATGGAGAGGTGCTTCTCATCTGGCCCCAAGCTCTTCAGTGAGAGAAGGTTAGGGTCATCCTCTCTCCCCGGGGCAGCTTGCATACAGAACCCTTCATCTCCAGCCCCACCTCAGAGCAATGATTTTTAAATGACGCAAGTACGTTATCCTTTTATTTTCCAAAACCAAAAATTCAACACTGGGTAAATTCTCCTATCCTATATAGGAGAGTGTTTGTATGCACAGGTTTCTCTATTATAATCGCTTAGGGTTGCCAGATACTTTCACGAAGAATACCGAACATGGCAGGAAAAAAATTGGTTGAGCAAAAAAAAAAAAAAAAAAGTTGGGGGACCACACTTGTTAGGGGGCAGGGGAGAGGGGAAGATGCACTGCGCCTTTAAATCCCCACACTCTGCCCCGCCAGATGCAGCAGGGGAAGAATGTCCAAGCGGCCTTCTATCCGAGAAAAAGAAAATACCAGATATTTTACATGTTCGGTATTTTCTGTATTTTTTAATGGACAGAGGCCACAAATACCAGACTGTCCAGGCCAATACTGGACACCTGGCAACCCTACAATCGTTTGTATATTTTTATTAATCTAGAGAGTTGGTCTCAATACCTGAAATTCAGATCAGGAGACATTCTGGCTATGCTGAGAATTGACTAAACTAACGCTTTTCTAGCGAATTAATATATATCTTTTTGTCTCTCTTCTCATGAAGTCTTTTTTTTTTTGTTTAAGATGATATCCGGTTGTTTGGCTTTGTCCGATTTACCACCGGAGATGCCATGAGCAAGCGAGTCAAGTTTGCCCTTATCACTTGGATTGGAGAGAGCGTCAGCGGCCTGCAGAGAGCCAAAACCGGGACTGATAAAACTCTGGTCAAAGAAGTAGTACAGGTAACGCCATCTTTCTGACCTTCTCTGCCTCTAGCCTTTGCGGATGTGGTGTGGGAGGTGGGAAACGATTCCCTCTTTAAAGCTCCAACTCTAACCCTCCTCCACCTCCTCAAGACTCCAGCTGCCCTTTGAATGATCTGTTAAATGATGACCTTTGGACTCTCAGCTATTAACAGAGCTCTTGGCTGTAAATGTTTCTCTCTTCACCTCTGTTCTTTCTCTCCCTGATACAAAAACAACTTAATATTGAGGCATGTCTAGCAGCACATGAATAGTTAAATTGGATACGGTTAATAAGGGAAGGCGCTGCCATCCGTAACTCTTGTTACAGTGATTCTTACTTCAGACAATGTGAAGGGTTCAGATTTCACTGTGCAGAGACAAAGGACTGCAAGGCTGGGCTTCCAATTGGTATTAATTAACAAGCAACTTTTAATAGTTAACTAGATTAGGATAGCTTCCTGTTTGGCATTGGGTGTAACAGGAACATGGAAATGTGTGTACTAAGCTCTGTTTCCTCAGTGTTTGTGGGGTGTTTTTTTAAACCACTTAGATGCATGCCTAGGGCATTCTGGTGCAGAACTGTTCCCACAAAATTCAACTCCAATAAACTTAAATCTAGGAGGGAAACTTCAGTTGTTAGAGAACTGCACTGTGGAATGTTGTGAATGCAATACCGAATCATCTCTTAGAAGTGGAGAGGGCAATGGGGGAAGGGGTCAATTCCCAGCTCTTCCACTGGCCTGTAGAGTAGTCCTGGGCAAGTCACATCCCTGCTCTGTACCACCATTTTCCCATCTGTAAAATGGGAATAATGATACTGACCTCCTTATTAAAGGCTTTTGAGATCTACTGCTGAAAGCTCCATTAGAGCTAGGCATTAAAACAGTCTTACAGCTTAAGGCAAGAAGGGACCACCAAAATGTTCCTACCTTCGTTGTACGCAAGAGTATCGTAGCCAACAGCAACACAACTATGCCTGAATAGATTTACAGTTCAGCATATGCTTCTTCTGAAGAAATGTTTATGGTGGAACCCATCTCAAACAAGTTCTCTAAATGTACTGTCTCTTCTTGGTGCCTAAGCAAATCCCTATTCCTTGGGCTGTCAAAAAACAGGCTGAATATTGAAAATCCTACAAGGGATTGGAAAGGACCTCATGGGTCACCCAGTCCCGTTCTTTGCACTCAAGACAGGGCTAAGTAATAACTAGACCATTCCTGACACTTGTCTGACCTGTTCTTAAACTGCACAACCTCCTTAGGCAATTTGTTTCAATGCTTAACTATCCTAATAGGAAGCTTCTTTTTCCTAATGTCTGGCCTACATTGCTGAAATTTAAGCCCATTGCTGTTTGTAAACCTGGGAGGTTTACAAGAATAGGTTTTTACCCTCCTCCTTGTAACAACTTTGTCCCATAGTATTTGTCTACATTAAGAAATTCCTTTTGAAAGGCAAGTGAGGAAGATAAAGGCTCCTTCAGTTTAATGAGCGGTGATTGTCATAATGATTCTGACCTACACAAGTCAAATGTTACAGGCCTGCTAAAAACACTGACGGACCGGGCCAAGTCTGGGCACAGCTGAAGGCGTCCTCTCGGGGTGAATTGCTCAAATGCGGGGCTCCTTACAGCCCCCAGATTGGTGACCTTTCCAAACAGGCCACAAACCAGTCCCACAGAGTGCTTCAGCAGCCTGCCTGAAGCCACACGAGCAAAACCCCTCCGACACGCCAGCAATATCAGTGCCCCAGATGGCCCTGGGCCTCATATACCGGTGGGGGGGGTCTTAGAACCCAATCCCACCTACCCTGAACAAGTTCTGTCCGGTTCCAAGAAACCAGCCACAGATCCCTGGTCAATTTACCCTCTGGATCTTACCCACAAATCACGCTGAGCCAATACTTTAGCATCTAACATCTAAAGGTTTATTATTACAATAAAGAAAAGCATGAGAGTAAGATTGTTAAAGGATAGTACGTTACATGCATCGAATCTCCCAGTTCTCAATGCAGGATCTAGCAGAGATGTTACAGCTGCTGGCTCAAAAGTCCTTGTTGCGCATCCTAGGATCAGGATGGTTCCACAGTTCTTCCTGGCTCTTCGATCCCTGCTGCTAAAATTCAAACTGAAATGGGAAATACCCATTTATGCTGCACCTCCCAACACAGGAACTACCCAGAAGGATTCATGCTGAGCCGAGACGTTTATCATTCTCAATGGTGGCAATGAAAGTAAGACTCCATTACTATGAAGTAGCTGAAACTGTGTAATTTTAAGTTGAAGCAGAACATAAATCATGCTCACAACAAAGCCACACGATAGTCCATAACGTCCTGTTATGTGTCATTTAAAACCTGATTGGTTGCCTTTTTTAATAGCCTACTTGATTTAATAGGCGACTGGAGTGTTAACCACTCTTGACATTTGCATAAAGCCTTGATTGTCTAGTTAATCAATATACACCCAGTAAAAGCTCCAAAACTGAATTATGAACGCAATAGAAATCCTGCTATAAATCAACCTTATTTGGCAAACCCTTCTCTTTTGAGTTCATCCTCAAACTGTCGTTAAACATTGACAGTTCTCCTCCTTCAGAAAACTAACCTCCATTCAGCAAATTCTTTTGGGCAGCTCTTAGAGGGATCATTTAAGGCAATTGGACCGGTTTTGTGCTTAGTCATAATTAACAACAAATATAACCCATGCCCTGGGGGCTGTGCCCCATGGAATTTATGCAGAAAATTAAACACACATGTTTACCTGGGCTTTACTTTGTGAGAAGCCGCACAGAATCTACAATGGGCTGGAGAAGCAGCCAGCCGCTGGACCGAAGGACACGAGATAGAGGCCAGATGCTTCGAAGCCCCCAGTTAGCTAGTCAAGTGCTCAGTTATGCTGGAAATGACATGCCCTTAGTGGCCCTCTACACCTCTAGTGTAAACCTGGACTTAGACTCATGTTTGAGCCAAATACCCCCTTCTGCCCACATATGAATCTATGGCTACATCTAGACTACATGCCTCTGTCGCCAGAGGCATGTAGATGAGGCTACCAGGCATAGGAAAATGAAGCGGCGATTTAAAGAATCGCCGCTTCATTTAAATTTACATGGCTGCCGCGCTGAGCCGATCAGCTGTTTGTCGGCTCAGCGTGGTAGTCTAGACGCGCGGGTGTCGACATCAAAGGCATTTGTCGACCACCCAGGTATGCCTCCTGGAATGAGGCTTAAATTTAAATTTAAATGAAGCGGCCATTCTTTAAATCGCCGCTTCATTTTCCTATGCCTGGTAGCCTCATCTACATGCCTCTGTCACTAGAGGCATGTAGTCTAGACGTAGCCTATCAAGCTCAGGTCACCAGGCACTCAAGACCTGGGTTTAAAGCCAGGTGGTGGGTCTTAGCCTAAGTCCCACTTAGCCGAAATCCCCATTGCTGAGCAGCATGTGGGGCAAGCAAGGGAACCTGCCTGGGGCTCCCCACTGCCTCCATGGGCTGGATCCGGCTTGCAGGCCATCTTTTGCCCAGGCCTGACCTAGCCTAGGAAATAACTCTGTTGTATAGTTTTGCACAATAGTATTTTGTTACTTTTCTTGATTTAAATGGGGCTGATTTTTCCACTGTGTGGTTCAGCTGCCTGTTGACAGGGGCATGTCCACTCTCCACCCTTCCCAACTCCCCTCTTGATCTCTGTGGTATGGCCTGCGTGAGAAAGGCATTATTGTGGCAGGGTCTCTTAAACAAAAAGCAAGCTCACCGCGCTTATTTTCAACCGTGGGACAATGAATTGGACACATTTCTATATTTCCTGGTGCTCTGAGTTGCATGCTGAAAATGAATGTTGCAAACCACCACCATGCTTTGCAGCTAGTTACATGGGTGCAAATTCAGTAACCACCCCCTTGACTTAAGCTCTGGTGGGATGCGAACTAGGAATGTAAAAGGTTCACTGGTAAGTATTACAGGTGATGCTTACTGGTTCTGGTTAACCAGTGGGGGCAGAAGGCGATCCCTGCCTGCCGTGAGAAAGGGGCTGTTCCAGCCCTGTGGGGCCCGCTGCACACAGGGGCTGCTTCCGCCATCCAGAGTAGCCACTGACTGTGGGGGGGGGGATGCCCCCCTTTAATTGGTTAAACAAGACATTTAAATGGGATTTTACATCCCCAAGGTGAGCATAAGTATTAAAATCCATCTGGTTCCCCCCAAGAAAACACAAGTTGTATCTAGTTTGGGTATCTGGGTGGGATAAGGGGTGCTCTGAAAAGATAAATATCATTTTAAAAAAAACAAGCCTGGGTGAACATCTCAATTTTGTGGCTCCTTTTGCAGCCCAGCTTCCATCTAAGCTTATTTGTATTCTACCCACGCTTACTATGGGCAACACAGGGATGACCCCAGAATTGGCAGTATGGCGCACAGTTTTTTTTTTTTATATAGCAGCAGGCCTGGAAGGGCAAAGGAGGTAGTTGCCCTGGGGCCCAGCCGTTCAAAAGGGCCCAGGGTTCACAGCTGCTGCAACTGAAGGAGCGGCAGTGGCCGGAGCACGGGTGGTATAAATCGCTGTGTGATGCTCCAGCCAGCTCTCAGGGCAGGCTGGCTGGGGCGGGAGGGGCCAGCGTGCTATGCTCGGGCTGGCCCTGAGGGCTGCCTGCTCCAGTCCCGCCCCTTCTGCCACAGGCTCCCCCACACACACCTTGCCCAGGGGCCTGGCAAGTCTGTCAGCCCCCCTGTATAGCAGAGAACAGCTCTGAGTTTTAAATCATCAAAATGGGGTGCAAAATGGAAGCGGCTTCTTTTTAAGGTGGCAGTGATGGGCTTTCACTCTGAACTGAGTTGTGCGTGTGTTCTGACTCTAGCACGATTGTTTAATGAGACACAGTCTTAACCAAGCCCTCTGCATAACGTGTGTTGCCTCTGGTGCCTATCCATTCAGTCATTCTTGGGAGACACTGATTCACCAACTCTAGTCACTCAAACAGTAGTTTAACGTCTCATAGCATGA